CCCCAAAACCCCAAAACCCCAAAACCCCAAAACCCCTGAAGACAAAATTGAGAATGGGATAGAAATTTTAAAATGAGATAATCGCTTGCTAATTAAATATTTTTAAATACAAATGTAAAGTTATTAATAAGAATGCTAATAATGTGTGTTAATTAATTGCACAATTCTGTATATTATTGTAGTGAATACTTCATATTTACATATTCATAAACTATGTTCATCACTTACATAACCCTTCTAAATAGTGGATTATTTATCTTACAATTCCTATTTTGATGATGAAGCAACCTTTAGTTGATGTCTTGAATGTATTGTACCAAATAAATCGTCTTTAAAAGATTCATTAGTATGTTTTTCAAATTAGTAATAATCTTGATGATTCAATTATTCTCCTTTAAGCTTTGGAATTTCGCTTGATACCAAGAAATCAGCTTGTATTGGCTTAATTTTTAGGGTATCCTCTTCTCTAATTGCAAGGGAATCATTGAATTAGATACAGAGGTCTTAGCATATGTAATTATTATTTGTATAAGAAGAGGCAATATGCTGATTTTAATTGCTCTAAGATTTAAGTTCTGTTTGGTATAAGCAGTGTTAATTTTGGCTGACTGTGCTATCAGAACTACTGCTAACAGTTTGACTATCACTGGAGAATTCGAATATATCATCTATTAGGATATAGTTTTCTAAGTTAAGTTGGTTGTGCACTTAAGCATCCTCTTGCAGAATCAGGAGGTGATCTTTACTCGTGGTGCTACTTCCATATTACTGGATTTCGCACTATTGGCTAAATGTATTCATGATTCTGTCATCAATATATTTTTGACCATCGGTTTTTGTATCAGTATAGCAGCTGCCGATGCGATTGAATTTCTTATCTCTTGATTAAGGATTGCTAGGTCTTTCAATCTCGAAGTAATTGTTATCAATCAAAGGGGCAATATAGCTGGTGTTTATTTTGTTGCTATGGTTATCAAATTATTAGTAAGCCCCATAACCACTGCTGAAAAATTAATTTTGCTTTTAATTATTTGTATCGTAAGAATTTGTTAGTTTTAGATTAAGATCTGTTGGAGAGTTAACAGATGTGCCTAATCTTGGCTTCGGTACGCAAATATCTGATTTAACAGAATGAGACTAGAATCTGACTAGTCTTGGTGCACTGAAGGTCAAATTATCTTAACCTGTTACACTTTCCTGATCAAAACTGGGAACTTTTGATCGGCTGAAAATACTGCGTAATTCTTCCTCAGCAGATAGAATAGATTTGAGATTTCTCTGAGTGTCAGAGGCAGAGTATTAAATATCATCATTTATTAAATCTACGCTGCATCTCATCCTTACTTCTCTGTCTTCAACCAACTCAAATTGCTCGTAATTGAAGTCCTCACAACTTCTTCTAACATCGCGCAAATTACCAAAAGTCATCTGCTACCATTCGTAATCCTCTATCCTCTCGGATTTTTAATTAAGCCCCTTATGAACGAGGTCTTCGAAATCTATTTTAGAAGAATGCATGTTATTTATTACGTCAAGAGATCTGTTATCAAAGTCAAATTAATTCTAGAAAGTTTGTTGATGTTCTTAAGAATGCCTTAGCCTGTTTGAAGGTGAGGAAAGGCCTGTGGAAATACCTGAATATGAGCCTTAGCTGTATCGACTCTAGGGTTTAATAGGAATTGGAGCCAACATAGAAAAGTTATAAAAACTTCCCTTTTGTTAATATTCTGAATTAAAGTTCGATCGTGATTGCATTATCTTATCTCAAAATTAATAATAACTTTATACTATTGACTGCCAATCTAATTATTTTACATATTGCTTCTTTTTAAATTAATTCAACATATATTATACATTATTTATCCTCCTCTATTCACTCTAACGGGGTTTTGGGGTTTTGGGGGGGTCGTAAGAGCACACGTCGGAACTC